GAGCACGAGAGGGAAGAGGGTCAGAGGGAGAAGCAGACTCCCTGCTAAGCAGGGAGCCCGATGCGGGACTCGATCCCGGGACTCCAGGATCATGACCCGAGCCGAAGGCAGTCCCTTAACCAACTGAGCCACCCAGGCTCCCCGACAGCTTTACAGTTTTAAAAATATGTGTTTAATGTACTGTGCTGTGAAATCCCAAAGTCTGAGAATTAATGACCTAGATTCTAGGATACAAAGAATGCAAAGAACATGAAGACAAAACCGGGCCTACGTACTACCCCCCCCCCAAGTGTCAGAGTCTAAGAAGGAAGTGCCCCAGTGGAAAGAATGGGTCTTAGTAATGGTCTCATTTCCTCCCCTCTGAGTTCATCTTGAACGTGACAAGGAGGGCAAAGCCCGGACTCATAAACCCCGTGTTCACCCTTTTGGCCGCAGATAGGTTTTCTGAATCCTGGTGTTCAACTGGAGTTGGGGATGTGAGAGTCTGTTCCTATTTGGGGATTCAGACTAGCCCTCGACACAGAAGAGCCACCTCTGTTCAGTCTAGACACTGGGGCAGACATTGAAAACTTGGCTTCTTCTATCCAAACCAGACAGAAGATTCCAGATGGAGGCTTTAAGTGGGGAATCATAAGGAGGTGCAGGGGATCCTGGGGAAGAGATGACGAAGGCCCTTGGAAGGATTTGGGCAATGACTGTTGCCCAACAGTAGGGAGAGGTGTTCTGACTTTAATGCAGCTCATGGTACCTTAGTTCCCCAGAAAGAAAAGCCTGAGACACGGATGTGGGTACAGGTGACTTCCTGGGGAAGAGGATGGGCCTAGGGAGTCTGGCCAGGGAAGGAGGGTGAGCCAAGCCTGTTGTAATGGTCCCTGCTGTGGACAACTGGGCTTTGATGCCAATGGTAACTTCTGAGGAACTGTACAGAATATGCCTCAAACTGACCATCTGAGGGATGAAAGGGAGAAGCATTTGTAAGTCTTCATCCCTTGACCCCCATCCAGCGTTAGTAAATGGTTGCCTCAAGGGGTTGTAACACCCTTGCCCCTCTGTGTTGCACACGATCCAGGGCTGACTGTGTTCCTGCAGGCACTCCCCACCCACCACATCAGAGGAGCCCTGCGGGGGTCCGGGGGTGAAGCATGGCCACCAAAGGCAGGCCAAAGCCTGTGTGGAATTGTGCCCCCAAACAAGGCCAGGATCAAAGGTATGAACAAGGGAGTGTGAGGCTGTACATACTAGCGCCCAACACTTACCCAGTCCTGAAAAATCTTATGTTCTGCAAAATCAAGCAGTACAAATAAAAGGGCTGTGGGGAAAATAAGGTTAGAGGCAGATAACTCCCAATCTATGCACATCTGTAACTGGAATGCTCCTGCAAATAGTAGTTTGCACATCAGGAGAATACTTGGACCACCCAGGCATCTCAGTGTGGCTGGAGGCCATCACAGAGGATATTTCTTTTCTTTTTTTTTTTTTTTTTAAGATTTTATTTATTTATTCATGAGAGACAGAGAGAGAAGCAGAGGGAGAAGCAGGCTCCCCGCGGAGCAGGGAGCCCGATGCGGGACTCGATCCCAGGACCCCGGGACCGTGACCTGAGCCGAAGGCAGCCGCTTAACGACTGAGCCACCCAGGCGCCCAAGGCCATCACAGAGGATATTTCAAATGTGCAACACGATGGAGTGGGAAAGACCTGGCAGGGCTTTGCTTAGAGCTGGCCCAGCAGGTGCAGACACAGTACAGAGGGCAACGGCTCTGAGCTCTCCTCAGTGGGCCTGGGAGGCAGTGCCGTCTGGCCTGGAGCTGGGGAAAGGGGCTCTGGGTGTGAGTGCTCACTTTTAATTTTCCTAAACTATAGCTGAAAGGGCTCATTGCAGTCAGGGTAGCAGCTGAACTGAGGGCTTCTTGCTTTCCTGATGATGCTTATGATTTTCCTCCTGCAATGAGTGCCTCCCTTACAGAAATGCACATTCTACCAGAATGAATGTGTTTCAGTGTCTTTAAGCCAGTCCCCCACCTGTGGGGGTCCGGCATTTTACGTCTTATGTCATTTATTCCTCCTCAGACCCTGTGCACTCTGTGCCTTTGCCCGTGATGTCAGGCCCTTACAGGATGGAAGAGAGCTTAGGGAGCTGTGAGATCTGCTCAGTCACCCAGAGTAGCAGAGCAAGACTAGGAATGGTGGAATACCAATTCTTATAGTCCTAACTATCTTCTATTACCTTCTTTTTCTTTTTTAAAGATTTTATTTATTTGTCAGAGAGAGAGGGAGAGCACATAAGGGGGGTCGGGGGGGTGGTGGGCAGAGGGAGAAGCAAGCTCCCCGCTGAGCAGGGAGACCGATGTGAGGCTTGATCCTAGGACTCTGGGATCATGATCTGAGCCAAAGGCAGACGCTTAACCAACTGAGCCACCCAGGTGCCCCTTAAAAATATCTCATAACAAATTTTCCCCAGCAAAAAAAAGTGGAAATGTTTTAAGTGTTCAAAGCTAGCGAAATTATTGTCAATTATGTTATCTCTACATGCTGGAATTATACAGTTTTTAAAGATAAGACTCATGATGGGAAAATGACTTACAAAACATCAAACTGATATGTGTGTACATTTGATGAACTAACATCAAGGGAAAGTAGAACGCAAGTTGGTGTGTACATAAGCTGTGATCACAACTCTGAGAACTTTGCCCAGGGAGGAGGGAGAGAAAGTTGGTTGCTTTTAAAAAGCTGGAGGCAGAAACCCTCAGAAAGTGAGCTGTCTTTTCTGTGCCACACACTTTCTAGGCCCTCGTGGTCGTAGCCATGTAGAGCTCGGGGTTTGTGTGAGATGAGTAACACAGCACTGCTCTTCCAATAAAGAAAGACAAAGTTTTATGTTGTAGGGCAAGTGAAGGGGAAGAGAGAGCAATGGGCAGAAGCTGGTGGAGATGAGCAGTGAATCTCAGAGAGGGAAAGGTGGGCAAAAAGGTGGGAGGCTGGAGACTTCCAGAGAAGAAATGGCCCGTGAAAATGTTCTAGGAACAACCATGACACAGAAGTGCAGAGGCAAGGGAGGTAAGGAGAAGCAAAACACAAAGCAAAACAAAAATGTCCCCAGTGAACAGATGACTTTATGAATTCAGGGGGCTGACCTTTAGGTTATAGAGATAAAGGATGGAAGGTAACACAAAATACTAAAAACAGCTACTATATTAGAGTAGTAGAACATAACTGTAAGTTTCCAAATTTAATTTGTATTTATTCATCTGTTCTTGGGATAATATCATACTTTAAAAAAAAGATTTATTTATTTATTTGAGAGAGAGAGAGAGAGAGAGAGCCTGGGGTGTGGTGCAGAGAAAGAGGGAGAGAGGGTCCCAAGCAGACTCTGTGCTGAGCGGGGAGCCTGATATGAGGCCTGATCTCACAACCCTGAGATCATGACCCGAACCGAAACCAAGAGTTGGGCACTCAAACACCCAGGCACCACCAAACTTTTTTTTTTTAATTAGGTCAGCATTATAGAAATTTTTAGCATCTAGTATAGCAAGGCTACTGAAGTAGAGTAGCCAGATCATATTGTGAAGTTTGTAAAATACAGAATTGTATAAAGTAAAAGTCATTTATAATGCTCCCTAACATCTGCCACCTCAATTGAGCCAAGTACTTGAATATTTTGGAGTGTATTCTCCTTTTTCCTAAGCTTGTCTGTACATACCCCGTTTTCTTCTTTTCTGCTTTCTATCACTATAGATTAAATTGACTTTCTTAGAGTTTCATGTAAATGGAATCGTACAGTATGTACTCTTGTGTCTGCCTTCTTCCATTCAGCATGCTTTCGGAGGTTCATTCATATTTTGCGTATATCATTTCCTTTTTACTGAGGATAAGTATTCTATTGCAGGAATATATATAACAATTTTTCATCTGATGGACATTTGGGTTGTCTGCAGCGTGAGCAGTTATGGATAAAGCTGCTATGAACATGCCTGTACAAGTCATTGTGTGAATATGGGTTTTCATTGATATAGGAGTGGAATGGTTAGCTCTTGTGGTGTTTATTTAACTTTATAAGAAACTGCCATATTGTTTTTCAAAATGATTGTACCATTTTACATTCTCTCCAGATAAATATATATATATATAATTCCTTCCAGATATAAATATATATAAATATAAAATATATATTACATGTTATTAAATATATTTGAGTTTTTATTTTGAAAATTTTAAATATTTATATATAAGTAAGCTCTAGGCCAAATGTGGGGCTTGAACTCATGACTCTGAGATTAAGAGTCACATACTCTACTGACTGAGCCAGCTAGGTACCCTCTGGTAATACTGATTAAAGCCAAATTCTTACTTTCAAGCAGGTCTCCATCCCCAGGATGGAGCCCAGTTTACCCCTTCCCAACCTTTGCTTCCCTGTGGATGAGTGGTTGTCTAAGTTTCAGGGAGGAGGTGGGCGGGAAGGACAGGGAGAGTGTGGGGCCACCATGGAGGATGCTGAGTTACGTGCAGCCCCCCTTGAGGGCATAGCTTGGGGGTGAGACAATGGCACCTGTCTTCTCAGACCATGGGGCAGTGGCCCCAAAGTCTTAGCTTGGGAGTTGATTCAGCAGGTGCTGAACAAAGGAAAACACTAAAATAACATCAAAAAGGAAGTAGATAGGGAGGGCCGTTGTCCCATGTGTGAATGACCCTTTATGCTTGTCTTTTTTTTTTTTTTTTAAGATTTTATATATTTATTTGACAGAGAGAGACACAGCGAGAGAGGGAACACAAGCAGGGGGAGTGGGGGAGGGAGAAGCAGGCTTCCCGCAGAGCAGGGAGCCCGATGTGGGGCTCGATCCCAGGACCCTGGGATCATGACCTGAGCCGAAGGCAGATGCCTAATGACTGAGCCACCCAGGCGCCCCTGTGCTTGTCTTTTATAGGGTGGGAATCCTCAGCTACTTTCTGGTTTCATTACTTGTCAGAGAAATGTATGTTGAAACTTAATTGCTTCCTCTCCCAGCCCTTTGCCATACATCCCAGCCAAAGAGAAACCAGAAGCTCTGCTGTCAGAAGAGGAAGACAAAGTGATGGTGACTGTCCCTGGACTATAAAAATTCCCATAAAACTACTTTAAAGATGACACAACCCCATGCATCCGGACTCACTGGGTCTCCAGGGTTTGGGTCTTCCAGCTGTTAGGCAAGAGGGCTGAGAAGTTGGATACCTGTATTCCCTCAGTTTTCCTGTCTTCCTAGTCATCCTGACATCACTGAGGTGGACACCAGGCGCTGCTAGAGCCCCCTACAGAAGGACTTGCTGCGGTCAGCTGCAGGGAGTACACAGCCCTCTGCCGTCCCCCCTTTCAGAGATGGCCTCAGCTGCAGTAGAGCTGCCTTCCCAGGCTGGCTCACCGGGAGTGGGGTGGTGTGAGTGTTGCTCCGGAACTCTGGGGTTGACCGAGGCTGTGTAAGACCTCTCCCTCTCCCCACCCCTGCTCCCTCTCTCCCTTCCACAGATGTTAGTCCCACCAGCACCACCTCATAAGCATTCTGCACCCTGAAGTCCATCTCAGAGTCTGCTTCCTAGAGAACACACCCAGACAATGATTCAGTAAAAAAGAAGCTGTGAACTTGTATGAGCCTGTTTGTGTCACAAATGGATATATACTTCCAAACGCATGGAATATTTGCAGAAGCTTACAGAAGAGACTGTTAGCAACAGCTACCTCCAGGAACTAGGACTGGGTTCTTTTAGAGCAGAGAGGTGTTACTTTATACTCTTTACCATAAGCATGAATTACTTTTTCTTTTATAATAAAAAACCCCTCTAATTTTATAGAAACATCAGATTGCATTATACATAGTTGTCATAGCTACCATTTGGGGAACACCTTCGTACATGTACGTTAGCATGCATTCTCTATTGCTCGAAACAATGCAGAGAGGTTGGTGTCATTATCATCCCATTTTACAGATAAGGGAGCTGAGCTTCAAAGGTGCCAAATGATTGGTCCAGAAGCAGCCATCACCAAGCAGTGAAGCTGGAATAGACTCAGACTCCAACTCCAACGTTCAGGCTATTTCTGAACTCAGTCAGGGTGTGTGTCTTTCTGTCAGTTCAAAGGATGCCTCTGTTCTGAATGGAGAGTGTGGTGTGGGGGAAAGAGCAAAGAACTGGCAGCAGTCAAGACCAAGCTTCTGGTCTTGTTGCTATTATTAGTGACCTCTGAGTTATTTATTGTTTATGTGCTGCACTGACCTACAAAAATCCAAGTCATTTTGGTATAGAGGCAAGACTAAAGGCTATTAGGTTTGACAGAGCTGGGTCCTGCTAGGTACGGTGTGATTTTAAACAAGTTACTTAACCTCTCTGAGCCTCAATTTTCTATTCTTTACAGAAAATGGACCCTAAGACTCAGAGTTGTTCTGAGAGTTAAATGACATAATAGAGAACAGCACTTACTATATTCTAGGCACCCAAGAAATCACTCCTTCCCCCTTGGGATTTAACCTTTGGTTTTTGAGATAAAGAAAGCTGTGCGTCATTTTAGCCTAAGTAAAAATACTCAATTTGCTAAAGAAGATATATTATTAAATATGATAAATGTGAAAGGACTGTTTGGGATTCTTTTATGGATCAGCAGAAGAAAGGAACCATTTTGCTCATGACCATTGTTTTGTCCCTGCGAGCTCCACGTGACTGAAAGATCTCCAAGGCATAAGGACTCTCCTGGGTGGGAATTGGAAAAGTAAGAGACCCTCCTTGGAAAGTGTGAAGGGGAAAAAAAATCAATCCCTAGACCCGGGAAGAGTGGTGCTGTGGTGGATTCGGTGGCAGCCTCCGGAAAGGTATGTCCATGTTCTGACCCCTGGAAGCTGGAGACAGGATCTGAGCAGATGTAATGTCAAGATGAGATCATCCTGGATTATCTGGGTGGACCCTAAATCCAATAACAAGTGTCCTCATAAGAGACACAGAGGAGAGGCACGGGAGGAAGAGGAGAAGTCCAAGATGAAGACTGCAATTTGGGTAATGCAGCCAGATGCTGGAGGGGGAGGGGAGGATTCTCTACCAGGCCTTCAGATGGAGCGTGGCTCTGCCAAAACCTCCATTGTCGACTCAGCCCACTCCTAGATTTTGGAATCTTGGCCCTCTGACCTGTGAAAGAATAAATTTCTTTTGTTTTAAGCCACCAAGTTTGTGGTCATTTGTCACAGGAGCCACAGGAAACCAATACAGTTGCCACGAGACAATTTTAGTGGCAACTACGGGAAAAGAATCAAGATTAAATGACATCAAAGAAGGACCCATTTGACTAAATGCTTAGCAATCAAGCAGTAGAAATGTAGACCCAAGAGATGTCATCACGGAGCTGACACGCTAGCCTTCTGAAACAAGAGCGCACAGAGAGGAAGTGGGTCAGTTAGGGGCCGGAAGCAAGAGGGGGCACGCTGACGAAGTGAGAGATAGCTGCCATTTCAGATTCTGCCTTAGTCATGGCGAAATGGATTTCTCAAATGCTGGGGAATTGGGTAGAGATCTACAGAGGATGAGAACATTTATGTTAGAATAACAAAAAATAAAAAATATAAACGGAGATGGTCAAGAGGCAGGACGGGCTTCCTTCTAAGGAGCCAGTAAGCAAGTACTAGGATGTACTGGCCTCTCAGAACCAAAGGTTTGAGAGGGACAACTGACAGGCCTCTACTGAAGGATCTCCAAGAGAAACGCATCAAAAAGGAAGGGTGTGAACACAGCCTGTGCCCAACAGCAGGGGACTGGCTACCAACACAGTCCCACAATAAGACAATGCAATCACTAGGGGTAAGGCTGTAGATTCATAGTCACTGAAATGAAAGATGTTCAGGACATATTATCCAGCGCAGAAAGCAAGCAGTAAAACAGTAAGTACAATGGCATCCCTTTCCTTGTGTGTAAAATGGAGATGAAGTTGATAGTACCTCCTTTGTGGGGCTGTATAAGGATTTAATTAATTAATACATACAAAGTGCTGAGCAGTACCTGGAGCGCGTAAATGCCACGTGGAATCATTATTATCATTACTTCTTTGAAGTCTTCAGGTCCCCAATTCTGACCCTTGAGGGTCAAGTATGTTTTGGAATTCAGAATTTCTCCGATTTTACAAAGGCACATGATTACAGAACAGCCTCAGTGTGTGAGGCAGCAACTGCCAATCAAACCCACGAACATTTCTGCGGTGGAACCTGAATATTCACTCTAAGTGGGAGGAAGACTATGAATAGTGTCTCATCATTTTTTGGGTCAGGTTGTGTAGCCAAACAAGCTTGCTGCAAACTTAGAAAACAAAAACAAAAGCAAAACAACCTTGTGTTTCCCGAGGTTTTCACTTCCTGGAATTGTAGATGAGGGTCCCTGGGCCTGTGTTCCGTCCAGGTATCAGCAAAGTCTGCAAGCATTGCAACAATGCTGTTGTGGACTGAGGAGATTGCAGCCTGTTTTTATCTTCGCCTTTTGACTTTGTTATATTTTGAAATTTTCTGCAGTGAATATTCATTACCCCCCCCTTTGTTTTTGGTCTATAGCTTCCTGAATTTTAATCTATCCAGATAAATTTAACATGGGGGAATATTGCATTGCTCCATGGGCCTCAAAAGGTTCTTAGCATCAAATTCATAAGTTTCATTTTTGCCCTAAGAAAATATTTCTCTGGAAGACAGGAACAGTGAAAGGGTTGGAGTAGGATTTTCAGGGCTTCTTCTTGTGTCTTTAAGCCAGTCCCAACAGTCAATATCCAGGACAGTCCAGCCCCCTAGGACCTTAACTGCCGTTTACATACCTACTCTTTCCTCACATTCATGTACGTATTCGTCTTCTGTTAAGAGGCAAAATCACAACAATAACAACAAACTGGAAAAAGAAATAGTGAATATATGGGGAAAGGTGAGGGATGTCTATGTGGACAGAGTCAATGCAAGGAAGGAAAAAGGAGCAGGTGAGGCGGACTTTTTTGACTTCGGGGCTGGCCTGGTGATCAAGGGAGTGGTGGGGTGAGGGTATGGGAGAAAAGAAGCCGGTAGACAGACAGACAGTAAGAAGCAGAGAAGAGTGAACGGTTTCAAGAACTAGGAAGAAGAAGTCGTTGAGCAAAGCTGTGGTCAAGTGAAGGTGGGAGAGGAGGCTGCGGGAGGCTGACTTTGCAGCCCAGGAGAAGTGCAAGCCCCAAAGGGGAAGTGTCCCTGTCAAGTTCCACAGGCAGCCAAACAAGGGGCCCTTTTCTGCTCAGTGCCTCGGGTGCTTGAATAATTTGAGGGGGGAAATTACAATTTTGGGAGGAAATTTTAATGTGGGTATGTATGGTTTTTAGTGACTGAGAATTTCTTAGAATGATGAAAACCCAAGAATATTAAAAGGATATATGTATATATGATTTTAAAATATATGTTATTTCTATATATTACAAATATAATATTATCATATTGGATTGGCTGATAGCTGAGAGACTTCTGTCAGTTGGCCAGACTTGGAAAGGGAAGTGGCCCTAAGCCAATGGAAGTCACAGAAGAAGAGGGGTGGTAGGGACTTGCAGAAAACCTAAATAGAAATGGAGCTTTTGATTAGGCAAGTCATAGTGTGGACCTTAATGACATTGAAAGGTAGAAAGTGTCAGGTGAGGAGGACATCATGTACCCACAAAACTCAGCCCCAAGCTATGTGACCTGAGCCCTGCTCTCAGGACCCAAGTCCAACTGCTAATGGAGGGAGGCAGAGGAGGGAGAGTCCCAGAGGAGGAAGATCTTCCCTCCAGAGAAGGTTCCAGGAGCAATAGCCCCCTCACAACTCATAGAGGGCTCCCCCACATGCAGCCCTCCCAACCAAGTCAGCAGACTACCCAGGAGAGGAGGTTCAGATTTCTTACCTAGTTACCAAGGTTAGCATGGCCATATGGGAATCTGGGCCTGCCTACATGGCCACCCCTTTGAAGCCTTGGACTGCCTGAGAGGCAAGGCTGAGTAAAGGCGGTCAGAGCAACCCTCAAAAAGGGCTGTTGAGCATGTGTGTGACATGTGACAGGGCAGGGGTTCTTAAACTAGGCCATGTGGGACCCTGGGCCAAGGTGCTTTACAGCTAAATCAGAAGTCTTTTCTGCATTTGCAGATAGAATAAGCTCCCTTTTTAAAAATATTGTTTGGGGTGCCTGGGTGGCTCGGTTGTTAAGCGTCTGCCTTTGGCTCAGGTCGTGATCCCAGGGTCCTGTGATTGAGCCCCGCATCGGGCTTCTTGCTCCACAGGAAGCCTGCTTCTCCCTCTCCCACTCCCCCTGCTTGTGTTCCCTCTCTCACTGTGTCTCTGTCAAATAAATAAATGAATAAAATCTTTAAAAATAATAATAAAATAAAAATGTTTACTTCTTAATATAAAAATAATACATTTTTTTAATCAGAAGAATTAAAAGAAGTCATCCATAATCTTACCCCCACATATTTATGTATATTTCCTTTCAGGCTCTTTTTTTGTGAGTATATTGATCAATCATGTATATATATGGTGAGCTCTATGCCCAATGGGGGGCTTAGACTCATAACCCCAAGATCAAGAGTTGCATTCTTGCCAGCCGAGCACCCTTACTACAACTATATTTTAGATATATTTATGAAAGTAGTTAACTATCATTATTATTTAATTAATATTTCTTGAATGCCTACCAAGACAAAGCACTATTCTTAACCCTTTTTAGATTTTGAAGTCTATGATTTTCATAATAACTTTATGAGGTAGAAACATTGTTATTCCTATTTAACAATAAAAGAAACTGAGGAACAGAGGTAAAAACTTTGTCCAAAGTCACACAGTAGTAAGTAGGGAACTGGAATTCAAACCTAGATCTGACTGTGGACCCTACAGTTTTAGACAATATGTACACTGTATTATATATGGTTTTGAGTAAATTGTTTTTCATTAAATATTATATTGTATTTCCCACATGATAAAAAAGAATTTACTTAACATGGAGTTTGTGTCTCATAACTTTTCATAATTTTTTTGGTTCCTGTCACCATTTGTTTACCCTAGAATCAAATAGAAGAAAATATCTGATTTAGTTTAAACCTACATATTTATTTGGTATGTCTATATTTAAATTACATATTCATTTAATATATCAA